ACAAAAAAAACTGTTGTTCTACCAAAAAAAATTATCAGTTATTAATTATTTAAAAAAATTAATTCAAACAACTTATTAATTTAATTATTAATATTTTATAATTTAAAATAATTTTGATAAATAATATAGTTTTTTAATTTATTATAAAAAATTAACAAATTAAAAAATACTAACTAATTTCATAAAAGACAAAAAAAACTGTTGTTCTACCAAAAAAAATTATACAGTATGCAGTTTGCACAATTCTTACCATTAGACTAGCATGATGTAGGTGATTATTCTCATCGAACGGCTCATATCTTATAATTTGTTATAATTCAAGTTAAAAAATAGAGACAACTTAAAATAATAATAATAATAATATAACTTTTAAAATTTTTATTCTACCCAAAAAAAACAATAAAGTATGAACACGCGTCAGAAACTCAGAGTCCGCTTAACCTCCAAGTAGTCAACAACCGCTGACAGTAAAAGGAGAATTTGAGGGCCCAAATTTCCAATCGTTAAAACCCTAACCCCAGTCCTAATTCTCCAACAGTCTTAGGATTTGTATTCCAGGTTACAAGTTTGGGTTTTTACAGGGAAAGATTCTTGAAATGGCGACGGCAACAGCATCAACGACAGGGACCATGACTGCTAAGAGGAAGCCGGTGTTCGTCAAGGTAGATGATTTGAAGCCTGGAACCAGCGGGCACACTTTGACGGTGAAAGTGGTGGAGACGACCCCTGTCAAGACGGCCCAAAAGCCCAACAAAGGTCGCTCTTTCCTCCCCCGTCCTGCTCCCCCTGCTCGAATCTCCGAGTGCCTGGTCGGGGATGAGACTGGCTCAATCATTTTCACGGCCCGTAATGAGCAAGGTATATATCTATTTATCTATACTGGTGTTTGAGAACCAGAGCATTTAGAATTAGAATTATGCCTGAAGCATGCTGGGTTTGATCGCTTTTCAATTAGTTTTTTATGATTCTGAACTGGGCTTCACACATAATGATGGGCAACTAGTATGTACAATTTGGTTTGACAAGCGATGACTGCTGAGAAAGGGAAATGTGGTGTTCATTTTATTTGGTAAATCTTGTAGAGAGAAATGAAATTGCTGTTATTTGGTTCTGGAAATGATCCTGTTGAGAATCATAATAATGATTGAAACTCCGATTCGATCCCTGTTCAAACTTGATTATGAAATCTGTTAACGTGGATTTGCTTATGCTTTTTTTTTTTTTTTAGATCATAGATTTGCCTTTAAACAGAGTGAGTTGATTCCATCGATTTTGGATCAAGGTTTAACTGAATGAATTAAGTATTCTCTTTAATGATAGATTGCGTTGGTATTCAAGGTGTTCTGAGAATTTTATGTATAAAAAGTACCAACCTGCGCTCCCCTCTCTCTTGGTCCCCCAAACGTACCAAAAAGTAGCATTGATTTATGTAATTGTGATTTTGTTCCTAATGCTTATAGTAATATTTTTATGCAGTTGACCTCATGAAGCAAGGCGCCACTGTGATTTTGCGAAATGCGAAGATTTTGATGTTCAAAGGGACAACAATGAGGCTAGCAGTTGATAAATGGGGACGTATAGAAGTCACTGAACCTGCTGATATCGTGGTTAAAGAAGATAACAATCTATCTTTTATTGAGTATGAATTAGTCACTGTTCCTGATCAGAATGCAACCTAGAACCATTTTTGTGGTTAATGTCTTTAGGGTGAGTATGTTAAGTAACTTGGGTGTGATTCTTATTGTTGTCATGAACAGTAGACTGGGGTGCAGAATTTATGAATATTAGACAGAGGTGCTTTTTTTCCCCTATGATTTGCATAATGTTAACAGTGGATCAATTTGCTCTGCCACTTTGACAAATGAAAATGCATCTACCATCCTGGCTACCACACAAACTAGACGGACTCTCTAATGATTTGATTTTTGAAGAAAATGTTGGCAACATTAATGGTTAATCATGTTAAGCATGCACAAAAGGTCCTGGTAAAAGGCTAGGTATGTTTGAGAAATAAAGTTATACAAATTAAGACATCTGCAGTATGATAGAAAGGAAAGGAGGTCAACACGGTGCAGCGCTTATCCGGCCTG